AGGAGCAGATCCGAGCAGGAGGCTGCCAGTTTCTGACTCCTGAGCGAAATCAGTTTCACGTTATCCACCTTCCACTCCCCTCCGTCCCCAGGCGTTAGTGAGAAGAAAGCCGTTCCTTCTGCAATCTGGCTTGCTTTTTGGTTTTGTTTTTAATTTGAGTTCAACTCCAGCCTGTCCACTCGGGCTGTCGATACGGAGGCATCTTGGGACCCTGCCAGGGGGAGGCAAGCCCAATCGGAAGCTGTGTTTCCTTTTCATGTCTGTAGATGTCTGCGGTGCCTTCAGGCAGCAATTAAGTTGACACTTGCAGGGAAAGAGAGGCGCAGGGCAGACACCGCCAGGCAGAGAGCCGTGCCTGTCCACCCTGGCTGCGCTGTCAGCACCTGGGGCCAGGGAAACGGCTGCTGCTTGCTCTGAAAGTCCTGAGGTCTTAAACACTATCCAAAAGGATTTCCTGGGAGCCTCTGAGAGTGAAATAAAACCTAGACTATTTGCACTGAATTGCAGTGACTGATTTTTTAAAGTTGCTGATAGTGATAGAAACAGGGTTGTGAGAGGTCATCAGAAATGAAGTTCATGCAAACGGCTGATGCCGTCAAGGGTCCGACCCAGATCAATGCCACCCTCCTTCCTTACTGAGAGCCTTAGTTTTGTAGATGCTTGCCCTCTTCCCATAGGACTGCTCAGGAAAAATCCTCACTGGGTGAGGCTAATCATAGTGGTCTGGTCCCATGTTAGTGACAGGTTTAGGGAAAATGTGTAACTGATTTGGTCACTATGGTGTGAAGCCTAAAAAGAGATGTCCCTTTCTTCCTCTGAATGTTGTCATGTCTGGATGTGATATCTGGTACTCCAGCAGCCATCTTGTGACCGTGAGAAAAGTCCACTTAAAGACAAATCTGAACTGCTGCTGGCTGAGTGGGAAAAGAGAAAGACCCGCATGCCCCTGGAGGTATATTTAAGTCACAGAATTAAACTGAATTAAACAAACCTGAGCACCCCCGTCCCCTCTGGAGTTCTTTTTTATGAGATACTCCATCTATCTTGTATGCCAATTTGAATTGAGAGCTTGCTGTTATCAACAGCCACGGGAATCCTAACTACTCTGACGTTCATTCCTGAAGGACTACGGAATGAAGAGTCATGTGGAAGCATTCACTCATCATCTGGCAATTAGTGTAGAGTCTGAGCTCAAGGAAAAGAAGAGCCGTGTGTGGGTCCCCTGGGCTGAAGTCCATCTTGCTCTCGGGGTGCCATTTATCTACAGGCCCCTGCTCCTGGGGGGGGGTGCTGTGAATGAGGAGTGCAAACTGCCCCCCAGACATGGGCATCAGACACGCGTGGTCCCTACACGTGCAGAGGCGTGAGAGCAGGAGGAGGTTTGGCCCATGTAAACAGGTACTGGGAAGCATCATGTCTCGGGGTTTATTTTACAAATTAAGGTGACGCCCAGCCTACAAGACCTGGTTGCCGTCACTATTTTCCAGAAATAAAGGCAAGGCAAGGCCGTGGAGAAAGTGTCCTGGTGTCTGTGGCCATGAGGTCCTCCTGGTCCTCGGGATTCAGGAGGCCTGAGACCCGGCAGCTTCTGAGTAATACTGTCCTGGAGCCTCCTGGTCACTGTGGCTTAAGACCCACTGTGTCCAGCCTGGTTCTTTCCCAGGATTTAATCTCACAATAGCTCACATGGCAAACATTGCTAGCTGCCTACCCAACGCCTTCCTCTTCTTTTACTTATTAAGAGAAGGAAGTTTTGATGTTTGGGGATTTGTTTCTTGGGGTGTTGGGGGGTGGGAAGGTGGATAGAATGATAAAGTAGCACTGTCCTCAGCTGAAATATGACATTTCTCACTTCCTTTGCTACTAGAAGAGGCCATGTCACATATTATGATAAAAACACAAAGGTTGAGGATTTCTGAGAAAGCTTTATTTTCACCATATGGGCCCCTCTCTTTTCTGTTTTCTGTTATTTTTCCTGAAGGAAGCCAGGGTGTGTTGATTGGAGCTTCAGCAGCCATTTTGTGAAGGCAATCTTAAGAACATCACAGAGACCTTGGCTCTGAATCTTTGGATCACTGCTCTGGCCTGTCTTGCCAGCTCTCTTTATCATACGATAATGATCTGCCTCTGTCCACCTGGCTATGTTGTATAATTTATGTGGGCCACACAGAGAAGGTGGGAAGACAAGGAAAATGGAGAGAGGTTTCTAGTTTTTATCTGGGTCTCATTTAAGATGGTTAATTGGAAGACACAAAACCTGAGACGTGGAGCTAGGAGACTTTTTGGTGCCCATGCGAACATCTCTCTTTTGCTGGGGGAGGGGCCACGGTTCATGGTGGTGGATCTCCCTCAAAGAGTTCTTGAGGTGTTCTGATTACAGCCGCCCGTGGCTGAGGAAGTGAATAGTGCAATCCTCATATTCTGCCTAGATGACTCCCCATGTATCCGAGCTTGGTTAAAATGCTCTGTGATGATCAAACACCCCCAGTAGGAATGGAAAGGTGGGCATTCTGAGGCTGGAAATTGTACTGTGCTGTTTGAAATGCCCATTAGTGTGTGAGTGAACCTCTGATCATCAACAAAGATTGCTCAATCACCCACAGCAATCCACCCCGCAGCACTTAAAAAAAGGAAAGACTGTTTTTAAAAGACCAAATTTGAAGTCTATTATTGCTTTCTTCCTTTTGGATTCTTCCTCTTGCTTATCCTGCTTTGCTGCAGGATTTCTAAACATCGTCACCTCTTAGATGCCGTCCCTCTCCTTGCTGGGTACACACCGGCCGACCTGCTGTGGAGACCAGTCACTGGGCTCCTGCTTTCCCAGGCGGTGCCAACTGTTCTCTAAGGCAGAATGGGCAGAAATCAAAGGGGAAATTCTTTTTGTTCCAGCGGAGGAGGGGACAGCTGTCACCTGTGTTCACCACCTCTTTTGTGACCATCTCTCAGCTTTGATAGGGTCCCACATTCCCAAGCTAAAATCCTGAAAACTACATTTCCCAGCTGCCCTTGCAGCTAGCCATGGGCATGTGATCTAGATCCCACCAATCAGACCACACTCCTTCTGGACTGATTTGGGAGTGACCCCCAGGGAGAGGTTTTCAGGGCTGGGGCACCTGGTGGCAGAGGCAGGAGGAAGGACTGTCCCCCCCGGGCAGCTCTGCAGAGTGCTTCTGGCATCACCATCCCATCAACTGACCAAAGTGTAGGCTCAAGGCCTGAGCCCAGATTCCTGGCCTTTCCCATCTCATGTCCATTCACATTTACTCCAGCTACCCCAGATGGGTGCCAGGACCCACCAGACCTCACAGATAAGTGATGTCACTCCACTTACAAACAAGTTCAAGACAGTTCTCCTGGTCAGGAAGAGCCTCTCTCAAATGAAGGGATTCTAGTGCTGACCTGGGCTGGGCACAGGGGAGTCCTCAAGGGTCAGAAGCTCTAGGGAGCTATTCTGAGCTCCCAGCCTGATGTCACAGAGAAAACGTCCCACGGGCGTCTGCTCTCTGGAGATGATGCAAGCAGTGACAGTCTAGATGGGGTTTCCACCTGTCTGGGAGCCTTGTCCTCCCTACCTGCAAGGCCACGGTTACAGAAAGCTTAGCCTGGTTCTGGAAGATGTTTTCATCTTTGGGTGTGTGCTGCCGGAGGGTGGATCCTCCCGAGGGCTTACCCTCCATCAGCAGCTGCGTGGGCTTCAGTTGACAAAACCCAGGATCAAGTTCTTGGGAAGAGAGGCCCAGGAGGACCCCGAGGTAGAGAACAGGGGCCTGGAAGAGGAGATTCGTCTTCCCAGTTCCCCAGGCCTCACTTTGGGGAAGTTTCGAATCGACATAGTTTAGAAGAAATGAGAAAGAACACGTCACCTCTTTGTGGTTCTTCAACAATCAAAATCAGAACAAGATAAATCTCTCTAAGGTTTCAAATGTGATTTTCCTAAATGAAGAAAGTAAACCTCTGTCAGGAAGCTTCTCAACCTGTTGATGTGCAAACACCCTGATAAAATGCAGCCCAGGGGCATCAGTGGCCTGCAGGGCCACCTTCTAGGCAAAGGGAAGGCAAGCTCTCCAGTTCATCTTAGCCTTTTGCTGACCAAATCTGGCGTTGGGGATGACTTCTCTAAGATTGGCAAAGAAGTTTTGAGGAAAAAAAAAAAAAACAACAACAAACCCCAAAACAAAAACAAAACCAGTGATACTTGGTAAACATGATGAACGGGAGGTTTAAAATGTGGTGCTGGGGAAAATCTGTGACTATGGACATTTGGATCCCAGTTCCACCTGCTGTGTGGCCTGGAGAAAGTCACCTGCCCTCTCTAGTCCTCTGTTGGCTCATCTATTAAATGAGGGTGATCAGTCTCAGCTTATAGGAGTGGGATGGGGAATGTATCGATGACATCAGCAACTTACCTGATGGGTAGTGATAAGGACTGACTGTAAGGGGCTTCCTAAGAGACAAGGAGGGCCAGCCAGCCTCCATCTCCAACCTAGCCCAGCGGCTGGCAATGATAGAGAGACTGGTGAGATCCTGGAAAGGCCATTCGTCACTCCAAGGCCTCGGTAAGTGGCCTTCAGAGGCAGAGCTGACCATTCGGCCTGACTTAGCCAGCAAACCCAGAAGCACGCAATCGCGCTAGCTGTCCCGTTCATCATTGCCCCCTCTCCTCCCACTTGGACTTGAAATAAGAGAGCAACCTGCCCCTCAGACAAGGTGTTTAAGCTTTTATTGTGAACGATGACAGATCGGGGCCCTGGACCTAATCAACCAAGAGCCAAGATGGCAAAAGCTTCATTGGAAGACTCATTTGGGACAATCTTACAGCAAACAAGTTCAGACCAGAAGATGCTGCTGGGAAATCGCGGACTCAGCCAAGGTTGAGAGATACGAGGACGGTTAGATGTTCTGCACAAAGGAGATGGTGCCGATCCAGCCGAGGTGACACTTGCGGAAGGCAGTCTCTCAGGGATTTTGTTTGGCTCCTCTGAGGCCATCGTCATTGTCCCTCAGCTGGGCATCCCTTCCTTCCCCTGGAGAGGCTGGAGCAGAGAGTCTGCCAACTGGAAAAACTGCAGAGAGAGTGAAGCGGACATACTATCAACCCTGAAGACAAATCCTCCTGCAAGAAACCACTGGCCTCACTGGGGAGCTCATTAGAAAACCAGATGAATTTTGGGGTCAGCCCGGCCTTCCTGGCTCGGAAACTCTGGGGAGAGGCCTCGACCTGCCCGTGTGAGCCCTAGGGATGATTCTGACCACGCAGTGTTTGAGCACCACAGACACCCCCAAGAGAGAAACTGACCTCCGCTTTTTGAATTGCTGTATTTGGGGAGGGGTCTGTTGTTGCATTTGCCTACCTTGTCCCTACTGTGATTTCTCAGGCATGTTGCAACCAGTGTTGGAAGTGAAAAGTGTGATCCCCAGGACTTGACCCCTAGGGTAGCAGCTGGTGGCGTGGGGGGTGGGGACAGGCACTTTCGTTCTTTCTTGGCTGACTTTGGCAGAGCCTGGTAACACCAATCAAAGCCAGTTTCCAAATTGCACCATCGAACGCTCCCAAACCTAGACTGTAACTGGTAGTCGTGGGGCACCTCGGGAAGGGGAGCTCAGTCGGGGTCTCTGCCAGCACTCTAAATGTAGTGTGGTTTGCTTGCTGCTGCTTCTGCTCAATTTAACTAAGACTGAAGAAAGAGAAGTTAGAATTTAAAAACACTTCTCTGGTCCCATAGCAGTGTTTACCCAATGAGATGAGAAACTAGAGCTCCTTCCTCTTCCCAAGGCTCCCCGGCAATTCAGATTCCCCAGCTTCCAGACGGGCCATTTGTTCCTAATAAAGACACTACTGCTATTCTGAGGCAAACGGTTACCTGCCCTGTGGCTCCACTGGAAAGCAGGTACTAATGAGCCCAGGGCTGGGTTCAATTCCCACACAGGCCAATTAGCTTTTCCTTCCTCCCAGAGCCCAGGCGCTAAGGGCCCGAGAGCTGCCAGGCTGCTGGAGATGAGACCATCCATCTTGCCATGCGAGCTGCTGTCCATGGGAGGAGTCAGAGACATTGGGGAAGAGACACAGATGTCCCCCATTGGCTCAAAATATTGAACTGGGAGGACTGGCTCAAGGCGGGGAAAGGAAGAAGAGCTGTGTGGCTTGGCACCATCAGGGTACCCCGGGACAGAGGCGGCTGGGTAAGGAGGAGCTGTGTTGGAGATGGGGGCTGCCTTCATTCTTCCTCCATAGAAACAGCCAGGACTGTCAGTTATTCCTGATTGTATGCTGCCTGTTCTGTGTGCCAAGCTTCCTTCAGAGCATTGCAAAGATTAAGAAAAGTTTCATCCTGTTCATACTGATTTGATGGGACAGTGAGAGGGGTCCCTTATAAGTGAGGACAAACTTGCACCTCTACTTCCTTTCCAGAACGGCTTCTGGAGTCCCTCCCTCTACCCCTTCTTCATGTCCACTAAAAAGAAAAACCCAAGGCTACCGAAAACAGTGGCCTGGGACCCAATCACAGAGACCCCCAAGGCTAACTAATACTGGCACCGGAAGTCAGCACCATCTACAGCCACACCCTGGAGCCGACCCCGACGCTGTCTGGCTTTATTAGAAACCATGGGGTAAAATTTCCACTGATTTCAGGATAGGATGAGAAGATTCATGGGGAAAGTGCAGGCGAAAGTTTAAAGTTATGCTTGGAAATGGTGCCCATTTGCCCTAATCCAGAGCCAGTGCAGATTCCCACACATCTTCCTGAATTAAGTAAATGTCTTTGTCATCAGAACATAGGAAATGCTCTGGATGTCTACCTCCAGCTCCGGGAGAGTTGGCAGCAGGACTTGGTGCTTTATTACTACGGTGGGAGAAGAGAGCATATGTGGGTAGTTTTTAATTTTAAGCAAAGTCCTTCAGCTTCTGAAGCTCCTGCTGCTAATTCTGGCTAAGTTATTAAGCTTCTCTCCAGCACCACGAGATATATGGATTTCTAATAGAATTATTCTCTTGGCACCCCTTCTTTTTGAATAAGATAATTATAAGACGTTTTCAGTTTTCATAACAACACACTTTCATTGAGGCAGAATCTCCAAAGCAAGGGGAGTGATACACTGTCTTGGTCTCTGTTTTGTTTTTCATATTTCTGGAAAATATGCCCAAAGCTTGGCACACAGGCTCTTGCCCTGGTTTCACCAGGGAAAGGCTATGCGACTGGTCTGCAGTTGCTATTTTTCAACCTGAAGTGGGATCAAATGGGATGGGTTTTCTAAACCTGTAAAAATAAAAGCAACGCATAAAAACAGAGAGCAAGGCCAGACTAGAAAAAAATTACCTTTTTTAGCTCACGATGGGGGAAGTCTCTCTCTCTCTCTCTCTCTCTCTCTCTCTCTCTCTCTCTGGCACCAGGGATTGAACCCAAGGTCCCTTAACCACTAAGCCACATCCCACCCCTTTTTATTATTTATTTTGAGACAGGGTCTCGACAAGTTGCTTAGGGCCTCACTAAGTTTCTGAGGCTGCCTTTGAACTCATGATCCTCCTGCCTCAGCCTCTGGAGCTGCTGGGGTTATAGGTATGTGCCACCCACTAGGCTAGAAGTCCCTTTTTAAGCAGTTACTCCCCACTATTGCCCACTCCATGAATCCTATAATACTACCACTCAGAGACCTTTTTGGAGATTTTCTTTCACAATTGTCTTGGAAGCTTCCGAAATTTTTCTGAATATAAGAGTTTTGATCCCTGAAGGATTTGAATTTTTTCAAAAGATTTAAAGATGTGAACCAAGTTCAGAAAATAAGCAACTTGAACTAGAACTGTTGTTTGGTTCAACAAATGAGGCACTATAGTAGATTGATTACATGGTGGGTGTGTTGGGGAGTAGTATTTTTCCAATGCACTGCAAAAGTAAGTCCATTTCAGTGTCTGTAGAAATCGATTCTGAGGGATTTGCGGTGGTGTTTTTTTTTTTTTTTTTTTCTTCAAACAAATGAGAAGGCAAAGCACTTGACCAAGAAGTGGGGCATGGCTAGGTAGGGCTCGGAAGCCAATCACAAGTTCCCAGAGCACTCAGCATGTGATCCTTCAGCAAAGAGGAGGGCTGATCACCTAACATCTATCACACAGATCTGTCAAGAGACTCACTCAGGGCTTTGTACAAAGTTGGCACTTATCTCTGACTTGGTTGATTTAATCCAGATTTTCTTTCTGAACAAAAGCTACTATAAAGACTTTCTCTCCAGGTGCTTCCTGCAACAGATGAGCTTTTAGTTTGCATTTAGCATGAAAAATCCCCAGTAGAGGGAAGAGCAGTGGAACAGAAAGTCTCCCTCCAGAGAGGCTGACTAAGGCTTGGCAAAGCCAGCCAGAGCCTCTGCAAGGGGGCCATCAATCAAAGAGCTAACCACCATGAACGAGAGAAGCTGGGAGGTCTCCAAGCTCCATAAGTGAAAAGCAATATTATTTATTGTCAGAAACAGAGAGGAGCAAGGCCTGCCGCTGCATCCTGTATCCTGTGTATCTAAGATCAATAAGGACCGTTACCCGGAACATGGCCTGCACGACACACACTGTCTGGGGCTGACCAAAGCACAGGACAGGCTCTTGTCCCAAGTTCACCAGTGAAAAGCTGTGTGATTAGGTCTGTTTCCTCATCTCCAAAACAGAAAGCCTGGGGCTATATAGCTCAGTGGCAAAACATGTACTTAGCATGTGTGAGGCCCTGGGTTCAATTCCTATTACACCCCAGCCCCCACCAATATGAGAGAGTAAAAGAATCTTCCCCCTAACACTGCTGTGAGCATTAAGTTGAAAAACTTGAGGTAAACTGTATAGCCCAGTATTTGAACTATGGAGAACATTCAATAAACTAGCCATTCCTGTAATTGCAAATATTTTTACCTTTTCTTGTATATTTTGTGGAAATTTCATAAAAGCGATCATCATCTCATTTTCAGTTGTCTTGCTTTTGTCCCATAAAATTTATTCTCTGTTTTATTTACTGTCTTTGCATCTAAACATTGACCGTTTGGTATCATTATTTCCCCCATCCTCTATAACATCCTACGCAGGACAAATCAGTTGACTTCAGATATGTTCACCAAGTTTTGAAATATGAGGATAAAACCTGAACTCGATGATCTGGGAACCAATAGAAGAAATACTACTTTGCATATAAACAGGAATGCAAACAAAAAATGCCCCCTTCTGAAAAACATCTAGGAAGAGGCTCTTTCTTCCATGGTACTTATCAAAAATAAACACATCTGCAGACCCACAGGGATTTACTTGAATAGAGTCCATGGCCTCATTATCAAAATATTTTGGTAGGGCCATCAATGAGTAACTTCAAATAAACACAATTGCTAATAGGACTCCTAAAGGGAAGTTTTGAAACAACAACATTTTGATGGGACCATAGGAAAAATAATCTATTCTGGCAAAAATAAAAGACAGCATGGAAATTGTCTGCTGTTTTGGTAAGCATATGTTGGTGTTGGCCTCGCAGAGTGGCTATTAAGACTTACATCATAAGCACTTTTGTGCTTCCTCTCTTTCCAACTCTTCTCAAATACCTTTCACCCCACTTCTCAAGTATGTTGGCCTCACCTACATCTTTCAAGTTGCTGCGCTCCTCTGAATCCCAAGTGGGTTGGCGATTGCCCAGGGGCTGGAGTTGAGGTGGCTGATGGCTTCGGTCCCCCTTATCCTGTATAAGGTCCAGCAAATTCCTTGCAGCCTCTTCCCACAGAGTGTGTTTCCTCAGCTGCTGCTTCAGGCCATCTCCCTGGGACACGTAGGGGAACTCTCCCGTGCTCTTTTTCCCCATTAAGTGCCCTGCACAAACAAAACCAGATCAGAATGCCACACATTTAACCAATGGGAATGAGTAGATAAGAAAGATTAAAAAAAAAAAAAAACCAGTTATGTGTGTGCTGTTTCCTTCTATATGCAGCGTAAATAGCATTTTATTTACTCTGACAGATTTTGCTCTGTGTTAAAAATGTGCAACAAGGTGGACAGAATTCAGAACTGTAACCCAGGAGTCCTGGCGCGGGAGTCAGTTTTCATCGCTGTGACCAAAATACCCTACAAGAACAACTTAGAAGAGTGAAGGTGTATTTTGGCTCATGATTTCAGAGGTTAGTCCACAGTCTGTCACATTCTAGGCTCTAGTGCTCTAGAGTATCATGGCAGAAGGACAAGGCAGAGGGACACTGCTCTGGGCACACCCCAGTGACCCACCTCCTCCAGGCACACCCCATCTGTCTGCAGTTACTACTGAGAGGTTCCAGCTCTCATAATTCAATCATTCCACCTCTGAACATTCCTGCATGAACACAGGGGCTTTGGGGAGGACAAGTCACATCCAAGCCATAACATCTGTTTTTTTGTTCCATCATTTCTATGAACTAGCCAGGTGACCTCAGCCAAGTAGTTTAATATCCTGGTCTTCAATTTTCTCAGCTATAAAATTAATAGGGTGAGCTAGATTAAACTTAAGGAACCCTCTAAATCTCAAATTCTATCATCAATTCTGTGTGTACCAAATTCCATTCCCAACAGAAGAATGGGCTTTAAACATCTTCCTCAGCCAATTCTGAATTGCTTCTGAAAATAAAAGCCTTGGTATGTTTCTTTGTGTGATTAAAAGAAGAAGAAGAAAAGAAAAGTGTTGCTTTCCTCTTATCTTTAATACAAATGTACCAAAGGAATTTTTCACTTAAACTTTCTCAGAATTTTAGCTGAGATTGAATCTAGGAAACTTCACCTGGACATTATTAGTTAAGAGCGTGATGAAAAACAAGCTGGAAACAAGTTCTGACTAACACTTGGCAACCACATAAATGCAGGGTTTTCTCTTGGGTCTGAAATGGTCAGTGAGTGTCTCTCAGTAGCCTCAGGGACACGCACCTGCTGTACAAATAAAGCCATCATTAAGGAGGCCAAAGTGCTAAAGACAGGGAAATTCGCGTTTGCAAGCGAAGTTAACACAGGATAAGAAACAGGCAGGGAATTCAGGGTCTGCGGTCTTAATACTTTAACCCATTGCTTCAGCTACACACATGTGTTGTCTTCTTCTGCTTTCTCTCACCCCATCTCTCTGAAATTAGGCCTTTACCTCTTTGAAATTTCCAACACCAATAAAAGTTTTTTTTAGATTTAAAGTATATACTGGATAAAGTCCTTATGGTCACAACATAGACTGGCATTAGAAGTATTCAAGACAAATATCATGGGAACAATATTTGAAAGACCTTCAGTCACTTAAAAGAGGCCCCTTCCCAGAGCACTGTCCACCAACAAAGAAGCCTCATTATAACTTCATCACTGTCATATATACTGCAACTGACAGTTTCCAGAATGTTTAAATGTGGATTATTTCATTTGATTCAGACCACAGTAGGTTTTACTGTAATAGGTTTTGTGAAAATGAGGCTTACCTGAGGTCACACAGATATTAGCAAAGGCCCCTAGGATTAAAGTCAGCTCAGAGTCCAAATTCCATTATATTGTTTCAAAGTGCCTTTTAACTTCCTAAAACTACAAGGTAGCAACACATCATTCCGGGTCTGGAAAAAAGAGTAAGATCTGAAAAAAGCCTTCCAATGTTATAAAAAGGCACAGAGACTGTATATTAGTATATAATGGCTCATTGTGTAAATGAGAAGAATTAATTCAATATGAGGGAGACTTCGAATGAGATTTTCAGTGTAAGTCCTTGCTAAGTCACTTACAACAGGAGACTTCACATGATTTTAAGACCCTACTGAGACCAGTTTCCAAGCTGAAGCCCTGGGATCCTGAAGGCTTGGCTCTTCACTTATATGCGTGGACAACTTGGTGCCTGGATATCCACTAAATAACCTTGCACTTGGCCATAACAGTGATTATGTTGAACAACTTCCCAGGAAGTTCTGATGCATCAGCTTCATTTATACAGAGGAAATTGAATCATGATGATTGGAAGGCAGGATTGGAACCCTGATGCTCCCAGTAATGACCTCAGTCCCTCTTGCCCTCCCTAATTGCCTATCATCTAGTCAGGATGCTGGAAATGAGGAAGGAGTTATTGGCTCTGAAACAGAGGGGTGATGGAGATATTATTTTTACAAACAAGAACTTTATTTTGTCATGGCCAAATAATTTTGTGGACTTTCTATAATGGGAGGATAAAGTCATCACCCATTCTGTGATCAATTTAACACAGATCCTGTGACGCTGGACTGAATTTCATGTGTGGTGGGTGTGTGATGTTCAGCTCCCCATCACTAGATCTACAAGCTGGTTATTAAGGAAAGCACACCATCTATAACATCCCAGGGAAGCACTCATTTCCTGGGTCCTATTTCACTTTTGTGCTGGCTACTGTCAACCAAATCATTGTCTCCATGGCAACATGGAGGATATGCCCACTTCTACCTCTCCTCCCATCATCATCTGTCACATGTCCATATCAAAATAATGGAGATCTCAGCATAGACAAAAGACAGGCATTTGCAAAACAAAACCTTGGTCAGAAAGACAGAGAGAAAAGAGCTTCTGTTCTTTTGAATCATTTAAAGAAACCACTAATGGACAGGTCTGAATTTCCTTGAAGTCAAAATTTGAAAATTATCCTAACTTAAGAAAATATATACATCAACATGTAGATTAAAGTACTGAGTACTTCTAAGAACTAGTTTTTATGGAGTTTTTGTGTTTTGCTTTTGTGGGGCTGGGATTGAATCCTGGCTCTTGTGCATGCTAAGCAAGTGCTCTACCATGAGCTATACCCCCCAGTCCTGGAGCCACACTTTAAATCCCCCAGTTTCTGAGTCAGCACTGCAGTGTCAAGCCACTTTGCAGCTTCATAGTGGTGCTTTCCAATTCCACCTTCTGGGACAAGCATCACATCAAAGAGCCAACACTAAGAACTTTGCATGGAAGCATTGAGAATAGTGTGTGTTGACACACATTTTCATGGACATCCAGCCACAGAGGAGCATGCTACATTTTCTAGCTGTCATCTCCTTTTCCGTTGCTACACTCTGCTTTTGTTAGGTGGAAGGAGCAAATCAGTTAACAGGCCTGCAATGAAGCTGACAGCTTCCTTGTAGACAGCAATATGTGTCTTTAGTTTTGCACTAATTAAAACTAAACTGTGTGTCTTTGTGATTGGAGAGGATTGGCATTGGTTTGGGATAACTGAAAGCTAAACTTGAAACTTGACATCCTTTGTCCCTGCCAACACTTCTTATTCCAACATTGGTATGTGTACATACAACAAACTTTTAAAATATACAATGTAATTTTAGGCTGAAATTTATATTATTCTTGACTTCCTTCTTCCCTTGCTCTTCCTCACACCCTGTACAAACAGGGGGAAGAGAAAAGGGTACATTTAATAATAAATTTCAAAGTGGCATTTGTGGTTGCTGCTGGTCTGTGTACTTTGGGGTTACCACTAGGAAGGGTGAATAAATGCAGACACCCTAAGTACCTGGGGACAGTCATGTTGCAGAACTACAGCAAAACAGGTTGGGCCTGGCTTGCACCAGAAATAATGACCATGCTCCCCAGTTAACTCTGTTCTTCTACTTTGGGCCTGCAAGGCTTATTACCTCATAGAAAGTCCCGTTGGTATAAAAATACAGTTGAGGAAAAAAGTTGGAAATCCGAAGGCTACTCCACCTTTCCTCCTCCTGAATGGTGGCTATACCAGACAATGGCCACTGGACTTAAGCTCCCAGAGATCCTTGTTAAGAATTACTAATTCTAAGTTTGGGTTCTTTGACCCCTTGTTAGTGTCCTTCATTCTGGAAGTGCAGGGCTTCTCAGCCTCACCCAGGCCAACTTCTCCTGGGTTCCTCCAGGTCCTGGGAGATCACAAATCCTTTCAACCCTGAGGGGAGGATGATACTAATAGCAACGACAAAAATTGCCCTGGGCAATCCCGGGCTCTCTCTCCTCTGACAAAACCAAAGGCAACACAGAGGCCCAGGAAGCCAGTTTCAGCCTCACCCCTTCCCCCAAATTCCTCCTCTTCGTGGCAGGAGGTTGATATTTGAATTAATAAGTACTTTTTCAACACACTGTTTGGTCCTAAGTGGTTGACTCTGTGTCTCTGTCTCTGTCTCACACACACCATCTCTTTAGAGATGGGCCCGCTCCCAGGTTGAGGTTGGTGCAGTGAGCTGCGGTGGGGTACATCTGGGGATGTTGAACCCCTTGCAATTGCAAGAGGCTATGCTTAGCGAAGCCCAAAGGCCCGCGGGTGGTGGGTGATCGCGAAGCTGGCGGCGGCTGCACACTACCACTTGTCCTGGGTGTGCCCCCGGCAGACCCCTGACCTGGCAGGCGCCCTCCCGCCCGGCTCCGCCCGCCATCAGGCAGTCTCTTCCGCCTTGCTTCCGGGAATCGAGACATGGGAATCACCACGCCGGTGTCGGAGAGCAGGAGGTTGGCAGAGGTGATGGGAAAGACGCTAAGGTAGAGGGCGAAGTCGTGCGTTTAGATAGACCGAGACTGAGAAAGAGCGGGGCTCCAGGAACAGAGAGGCTAGGGTGAACGCTAAGAGCACGCGCGATTCCTGTAGCGCGGAGCCCGCCGGCTGGAAAGAAAGAGGGTGGGCAAAAGGCGGGGTGGGGGATAGGATCTGTAAAGGAAAGAGCAGGACCCAGACAACTCAGGAGAGCCGCAAACAGTATACATTCCGGCACTGTTAGCTGAACAGATTTGGAACCCGGGGCGGGAGCGCAGCGTCCCTGGACCCCACACCTGTGGCTTTGCGAGGCGCAACCTCGCGGCAGGGGCTCCAGCCCAAGCTCGAAAGAGTCGTAGCCTGGACCTGGCTAGACCTAGGCTCAGAGACACGATCGCGAGATCTCGCTCCCCAAAGTTGTTCCAGGAGAGACCCATGCCAGAGCGGGTTGAGATAAGGTGGGGAAAAAAAAAAGGAAGTGTCGGATTTGTGCGGAGGGAAGATGAGCTGAAGCGTAGGGTTGGGATTTTTGGAGAGCTGCGCGCTGGCTTCTGCGCCCTGAGGAGGAAGCGGGTGCGCACCCACAGAGAGCGAGCGGGAAAGGATTCAGGGACCAGTCTCCGGTTAGTTAGAGACCCAGTCTTCCCGGGACCGGGAAAGGTGGGGTGGAGTTTGGGAGATCGGGGTCGGTGTTTTAGTAGAAGGGTCGGAGCAAGCCCAAGCCCCACAGCCCGGCCGCGAAAACGCTGAGATGCGGAGACAGGTCCCCTTGGGCTGGCTGATCCCTCCGGGGACAAAAGCGCGCGGCTCTTGCGGCCAGGACACTCACCCACCGCCCAGTGATTGCCGCGCGGATACATCTTGGCCAGCACGGTCCCTTCGCCCACCGGCACCGGGGCTGCTGGCCCCAGGGGCGCCTGGCAGAGGACCAGCGCCAACAGGACGAATGGGAGCTCGGGGCCGCCCATGATGCCGGCGGGAAGCCCTGGTATCGCAGCCGCGAGGCTGGGCGAGGCCGGGCGGAGAGTGCGCTGCCCCCGGCGGAGCAGCGAAGGAGGACTGGACCTCCAAGGAGCTCCCGCCGCTGCCGCCCGCGCCACTGCTGCAGCCTCCACTAGGGCCCCGACTTTATATGGAAGCCGGGCGGGGGGGCTGGGGGGTTCTTCCACCACCGACCAGAGCGCTCTGACGTCTCCCTATCGCGAGCCGGGGCGCCCGGACTCCTGGCCCGGAAAACCATCCATCTCCCCTCGAGTGATAAAGAGGCTGGGCGTACAGTGCCCCCTCTCCCTTCCCCTCCTAGTCGCGCCCGCCTTCCCCACTCCGGATTAGGTCCGCCCATCCTCGACGCCAACACAATTTCGTGAACTGCCCCCTCTCTGGCCTCACTGGTCTCCCGCTTTTACTGAGCTCGCATCCAGCAAGGGGTAGAGAGCAGCGACCGGCAGCCTGATCTCAGAGGTAGAAAGGGGAGAGCACGGAGGATGGACGTTTTGTGACTGGGCTTTGCTGAAAGTGTTGGAACCGTGATTGCAGAGTACTCCTGATGTTCCAAACCTTTCCCTTCCAGGGACATCCTCCCCGCATCCCAGCCTTAGACCTCCGGGCTGGCCTCCCTCCCGCAGATCTCCGCTCCGCCCCGCCCCGCCCCGCCCCCAGCACTCCCTCCACCGCGGCTTTCCCGGGCGCACCTGCCCACTCACACCGCGAGGTGGAGGACTGAACGGAAGACCCGCTTTGAGAACAGCGAGAATGCTAGTTGGACTAAACACAGGGCCCCTTCCATAAGCACACTTCTTCCATATAATAGAGAAGGAAACTGCCCTTCTGCTGATTTCCCTAGGCTGCGCCGGCCAGAGAGCTCCAACTGTCCCTCAGCTGCTACTGCCGCAGGAACAGGTCTCTAGAGGTGCTCAGCTTCCCTCTGGTCTTTCTGTTCTCTGGTCTAAAGACCGTTCACCCGCCCTATTCCTGAACAGTTAAATGCCATGAATGTGAAAGGGGCTCGCGCCATAGCAATGGGACAATAAATAGAAGCTGGTAGGATGCTGTTGCCCACGATTTGGCCGCCAGAGCTGCTCGTGTGGTTGTGCTTGTCATAGTTGAGGGCTAGTCCTTCCTCACCAAGGGCTGGTGACTTGCCTCCCTGGTGAGTCTTTAATGTTCCTTATCCACATGGTGTTGACAAGATTGAAGCTGAAAATGTACACTTTGGTCTGAGTATCTGGTGATTCAATGCATATTGCCTTTCTTAGGTGAGCACACACAACATATTGCATGACTGAACATTAAAACATGTTTTTTTTTTCTGTGCATGTGTCTGCCTGTAAGGCTGATTTTATGATCATTATTAGTAGCCAAAGAAATACAATAATATTATTCTGGGGAGTGATCCAAGTGAAAATCAAAAGGAAAGAGTCTACAGTTGGCTTTGATTCCATCTCTCTTGGGTTACCAGCCTCTGCAGTGAGCCCCCCCCCAACTCCTCTGTGAACAGATGTTCACTGACAGGTGACTGATCATCCATAGCTTGCTCCCTCCCACTGGGTGAGCTTGCTTCAACACGGGGACTTGGGCTTGCTTCTCTGTACCCACACAGAGTGCCTGGATCACAGTGGTGTTCAACAAGTATTTGATGAATGAACAACTTATCTAAGATATGCTTAGGCCTGATGCCTTCTCCAACTCCAAGTCTTCGAAGGAACACTAAATTCTTTTCTCTCCACATTAACTTGTAGGAAAAAAAAATGTCCTTCCCATTTAGTTCAATCAAGAAATTGATAGGGAAAAAAAAAAACACTGTAGAGACATTCAAGTATAGGAACAGTTCTACAGAAAGCACAATTTTTCTGCTAATGCAGGCAACACACACACATACACGTGTGTGTGTGTGTGTGTGTGTGTGTGTGTGTCCCTTGCAGGGCAAGATGTATCTGGGTCCCTCCATTCACCTCAGTTCTTGCTCTCAAAATTCCCAGCCCACAAGATTTCTGCCACCAAACTAAAGCTGAGCCATGTGACTTGCTTGGCACCCTGTAAGGACAGCAACTGCATCAGCCTTGTTCAGAACTGCACTCACAGTGTGCATCCCAGTCCTAGGCACAGAGAAGGGACTCAATAGATGCAAATGGATACATCGTCTTGCAGGTATAGGATGTGACTCTAGTTCCCTAGCCAGAAAAGATAATGATTTGTTTTCAGAGAACAGAACCATGTACATTTGATTCAGCTTTGCTGAAGGTGTTGGAACCCGAATTGCAGAGAACCCCTGATGAACCCAAACAGATCCTGTTTGGATGCCCTCTCTTAATGAATGCCTTTTAAAGTTCTCACCAAGGTGTGTCAGGTAGAGATGATCAATCCCACTGACTTGGTTAGGGGAAACTTAACTGCTATGAGAAAGAGATCTCACTGCAGGGACCCACCTGAAAGAGAAGTTGGTTTCCTTTTTTTTTTAAATCCAGGGCAGGTATTCCAGGTTGGCGGGCAGGTCTATTCCTCATGGATATTCACCCCTTTCTTGAATCTTCCATTCAGGAACATCTAATCTAATTTTTTTCAAGTAACTGTTCCATCCTGTGCCTCTCCCATTCCCCAGAGCAGTGCTCCCCAGAGGATTAGCCCACAGGGAGCTGAGAAGAGTGTGTCAGAATGCAAACGGATGCTCTTCATCCAGAATGTCATGCGCTGGGAAAAAACTGTCACCTGAATTAAACAATGGCCTGTTGATTCGTGGTCTGGAACAAGCCCTCAACTCATTATGAATGGATAACAAGTAACTGATCTGTTGGACCACAAGTCCAACAGATTCCCTCTGTCCTATAGCACTGTCCCTGTCTGCATGGCCTGGGTGGCAGCTGGCAGGACAGGGAAGATGGCATGCCCACTGTCTTGCTATACCAGTTCCAACATAGCTCTGATCTCTTTTGCTCATGTTCCTTTGGGTAAAAGTCAGCCACATGGCCACAGGTAGTTGCAAGAGGGGTTGTGGTTGCAGTTGACGGTCAGTGATATACTAGCCCTGATTGCTGCACTGTGAAAGGAGCCAGTGAAGTTTGATGGACAGCTAAGAATCTGCCAGAACCAGCCTAAGGGTGTCGAAGGCCTGGAGGAAGCTTACAACTTTTACTTAATAAAATAAAACTAAATTCTACAAGGTTAGTTAGGAGGAGAGTTCCCTCATAGAGATGAGCAACTTGACCTTGAGCCACCTCCTCCACCCCAAAGATAATAGTCCTTTAGGGGTTCTATTGCTATCACCATGGGCAGTAACCCTTAGGCTCATTGGGCTGCTATTGCCCAAACTAGAACACCCCTTCCTTGAATCTTCCATTCAGAAACATCTAATCTAAATTTTTTTCAAGTAACTGTACCATTTAGTACAAAAGTGCTGTGTAACAAGCAGCAGACAACATGAGGTTTATTTCTCCTGTGTGTGCAGTGGGGCTGGTGCTGCTCAGCAGTGGCATGTGGGCTCCTCTGTTTTGGCTCCAGGCCAAGGTTGGGCTTAGGTTTAGGTGCCTGCACATGTTTTTCATCCTGTTGGAATCAGCCAGCTGGCAAGAGCATGTTCCTCTTCTGGCAGGGCAGAGAGTACAATCAGCAGGGCTCCTGAAGCCTGAACTTAGGGCTCACATGCTGTCATTTCTCCCTGGTGCTATTGGAAGTCACATGCAAGCCACCTGGGCAAGATCACAGCCAAAATGTGGGGAAGCATGCACCAGGGACCAGGAGATGGCTGCAGGGAGAAGTAAACAATGGGGTCCCTATGGCCATGCAGAGTAGGGGGAAACAGATACTTAGTGACATCCTGCAAAAGAATCTGGCCCAAAGGAAGATGTTTATTCACCCTTGGCTTGGCATCTCTGGGGTTGGAGGGTGTGTAGGGCCATACCCCTGGGGGCCTTTCTCTCCAACCCCATGTGGTATTTTCCAGGAAATCCAATGTTGGTTTCTCCCTGTGCAATCTCTATGGCTTCCAGCCTGAAATACATTCTTTTTATGTTTATGTAGGTTTCAGGTCTCTGTACCATGACTTTTCTCTTCCAGAAATCATGGCTGTATGATGTGATTTTTAAGGGGGTTCCCCCACCCAGACTTGGATGGTCTAATTTAATCAAGCCTCTTTGTATGCTAAGAAGAGAGACCCACTTAAGCTAGCTCAAGTAAAGTGGGATTTGTTGTAAGGACACACTGGGAATGTCATGAGCCCAAAGACAGGAACTGGGTGGTCCATCCGAGTCTCAGTGAAACCACAACTAGTCCTTAGGTCCCCCATAGCCTTACTCCATGTTGTGTTCCCTCCTCTTTGCATCTGCTCCTTTCTCCTCTCTGTAGACTTAATTTCAGGTCCTCCACGCATTCTCATTCCCACATAAATTCAGCCTGCTCTGCAGCCCACTGCACCTACCCCAGGCTCCTGTAATGGAGCAACTTCCCCATAGCCTCCTACCTTCTGCTTCCACTGGAAACTGCCTCTGTCTTTCAGTTTCTCATCTCCAGGTTTCCAAGAGAAATAGGATCAACCTATCTGTTTTGGTCCAGCTACACAGGTTTAAGTTGCCCAAGATCTTACAGATGCATGAGTCCTGTGGATGCCTCTGGCAAGGGTCTAGCAATGCATGATGGTAGCCGTGGCCACGCTCACTCCACAGGACTCTGGGCAGGGCTGTGTTCCTGTGCATAGGTGAGGCAGGCACCCAGACGTCTCTTACACAACATTCTTTTCCCTAGACCCTCAGGTGTGTCGTCTTGGGCCTGATGTTTCATGATTTGTGCTGAATCCTTTAGCTAAGCCCCACACATTTCATCTCTCAGGGCAATTTTTGTTATTTTCTCCTATGAAGTTCAAGTTTTGAAGTTCAAGATTTTTACTATGAAAAAGGTCCTATTTAATTTCCCGTTTCAATTTACTGGAGCATAAGGAATTGTCCATTAGCATTTCTAAGTAGGTAGAAATAACCAGTAT